CCTGCCCCTCGGGCATCACGCACCCCGACTCCCTGAGCCCCGGGAGCGTGTGAGTTGGTGCTTCCCAAAGAGAAGGAAAGTTCAAGTGGCCGGGGGCGCGGGGCGCGTCTGGCCCGCTTTGTGCGGGCAGGAGAGGCGCTGTGGAGGGGCTGCGCTCGGGGCGCGCCCCAGCCCCCGGAAAGGGAAGTTTGAGAAAAAAAAGCCGCCAAAGCACTTGGCACACCTGGGGCCCTGGCGGCCCGTGGCGATGCTGCGTACCTACCCAGGGCTGGCCGAGCCACCCCAATCCACGACCGGTCCCTACATCCTTAGCCCCTGGGAAGGGCCACACGATCCCCAGACAGGCTTCTTGGCCTGGAGTTACTGGATAGTTAAACTCTCAAGAAAAGAGGCGATTTGCAAAGGAAAGTTATCTGACTCCACCGAAGCCTCGGTTGGCCTGGATGTTTGCAGCGGTTCTCAACCTGTGGGTCGCGACCCCGTTGGGGGTCGAACGACCCTTTCACAGGGGTCGCCTAAGACCATCGGAAAACACATATATAATTACATATTGTTTTTGTGATTAATCACTATGCTTTAATTATGTTCAATTTGTAACAATGAACATACATCCTATGTATGTATCCATATCAGATATTTACATTATGATTCATAACAGTAGCAAAATTACAGTTATGAAGTAGCAACGAAAATAATTTTATGGTTGGGAGTCATCACAACATGAGGAACTGTATTAAAGGATCGCGGCATTAGGAAGGTTGAGAACCACTGCTTTAGGGGCTGGGGATGGTCAGGTGGAGGCGGAGAATTACTGACCAAGGGCCTGCTAGGGGCTGGGTGCCTGAGTGAGAGGTTGCCTGCAGCAAGACAACCCTGACTTCCGGAGTTGATGGTTCTCTGCAATTATCTTGGTGGAAACGGAAAGGTTAAATGAAAACGGTAAACTGCTGCCCAATAGATCTCTATCTCTAGAGGTTTCTTTTGCGGGGGGGAGGGGAATGAATGAATTGAATACTTAAAGATGTGTTTTGGAAAGTACCCAGCCCCTGAGACCTTAAAAATTAGACTTTTTTTTTTTTGCAGCTAGGATCCATATAGCAGAGTATCTACAACTGTGGTCTGGGTAATTTAGTATTTGGACCTTGCAGGGCCTCAATTTTCCTCATCTGTAAAATGGCATGATTAGATTTGGATACTTTTCCATTCCCTTCATCTTATGTCCCTCTCCTCCCCCCTGTGGTGACTTGGAGATGCCTGTGTAGATTTGGGATGGAATGGAGAGGATTTGACAGTCCACACTGTCACTCTGAGGCAGAAGTTTGCTTTATCTGTAGGTTTGTCTGGAAGAAATATGCACCAGGTTCTAACTGGAGCATTCCAGATTGTTTGAAGTGGACTGAGAACTTCATATTGAACTTGACATTGGAGATGGGAGTTGTTAATGGAACGAGGAAGAAGCATTATTTTAAACAAAAATTCCTAACACAAACATGAGTTCTAGAGTTAAATTAAATCCTGGTGTTTCATTCTTGGATGTTGTCCTATTATTTCAGCACCAGAATGTTCAATATGTTCAACTGTCTCTGATTATACCCCAGACTCTTAAAAACTGAGTTATAGCCAACTAATAAATATTTTAAATGCACCCTTAATTTTCCCTGTACGTGCAAAATCATTAAAATTTTTGTTTCAGATTACGAAAGAAGGAAATTTGTGGGCTCTGATTTGTTAGGCTTTGTTTACAAGTATAAGATTTATGATTACAAATTCCAGACTCAATAGTTCATGAGTCAGTTTCATTTCATCTATATACACACTTTTAAACAATTAAAAGCCTGGTGGCTTTTTATTTGGGCTTTTAAACAGCTTTATAAACCCCACAGATTTTGTATCTTTATGGAATTAAAGTTTCAAAATGGTTGAACTAAGGAATCATTTTGAATGTGTATTCACTGGAAATTAAATTTTTGAAGCTACTTGAAGGTTGAAAGTACCGATAGTGAAGATGAGAAACCTAATTTCATGTTACATTTTAATTTTCCATATAAGTAAATGGTTTCAGGATTTTTCTAACATGATTGGTAAACTGTTAAAACATTTTTCAAGATATCTTAATTCATGATAAGATATGAGGAAATGAGATTATTTACAGCATCTTATCAGGACACACACACACACACACACACACACACAAATCCGTGTTCTGTTTAGTAGATAAGTAAGCAGAGGATTTCAATATAAGAAAAAACTTCACTAAGAAATATATTTAACTTAAAAAACTTTTTAGATTAATAGATTCATTTTTCCTTAAATGCTCAGAATTAAGTAATTGCTCTTTTGAGGGAAAACTTTACATGTTGGAAAACTCTCCCAATCTGAAAAATGTGACTTTTATATTTCAAATACCTAACAAGAGTTGCTGACCAAATGTTGGTAGAAGTGTCATAAGATAAGCTTTTTTTCCTAAAGTCACTTTAATGATGTGCTTGTTTTGTCATGGTCAGAAATCAGTAGGCCCAGGATTTGATCTTAGGCCTCATTGCTTTTGTTACCAGAAAGCACATTTTCACTTCTAAGTCACTTCCTTCCATAACATCTTATTTTTTTAACCAGTTATGATTTATACAAAACACTCATCCCATTCTGGATTCCTCGCCTTTTTATAGAGGTGGCACCCCACGGTGATGAGTCCGTATTGTTCTCTGTGTAGTCGGCATAAATGCTACATGTTTTGCATTTCAGTTTACCAGTCCTCAGTTATCAACCCAACTTTTAAACGTTTTCTTTATTCTTTAACCCTATTTTTCCAATGAAGAATGACACTTCCTGGGTGCCCTTGTAAAAAGTGGCCATTACTCATTCTTCCTTCTCCATAGAATTTATAGTGAGTGCCTCCTTGTGCCAGGCAAGAGGCTCAGACCAGGAGACAGCCATTGAATAAGAGACATGGCCTTTGCCCTCCTTGAGTTTAACATGTGGCAGCCTGGTGAAGATGAAGAGAACAGTCACATTTTAATCCTGAACACTTGGAAGCATTACTGAGCACTGGCAGTTTATTTTCCAGACCCCTTTGTCCTAAGTCCACTTCCTTGTTGAATGCTAGGGGGTGGGTACATGTTGAATGTTTCCTTCTTGGTCTCTCTGAACATTTTTTTCATTGACCTGTTCTTTTCTATACAGGCCTTGTTACAGGGCCACAGTTGGGCCGCCTCAGTTCTTCAGCCTGTAGCCAGCCTGAGAGACCCAGATGTATGTGCCCATCCAGTCTTTCTTCCAGCATCGACTTCCTGATAGAGGAGTATAGGGTACAAGCTTTGGAATCAGGCTACCCTGGGTTCCAAACCCACCTCCCATTTACTATCTGTGTAGCCTGTTGCAATGATGTTACTTCTCCAACCGTCATTGCCATCATTTGTAAAATGGGGTTTATGGTGTTCTGCTGAAGATTCAATGAAATACTGTTAACTCTAAAGTGCTTAACATAATGCCTGCAACATACTAAATGCTCAATAAATGCCAGCTTCTATTCTTCCTACTATTAACGCCGGAATCTGGCCTAACATGGCCCTCAGTGACCTGGTTCCCCTCTGATTCTGCAGCTAACATCCCACCAAGACTCACACTTTCCCAGTCCTCTCTTGTCACCGTGCGCACACATGCTGTGAGCAGTGCAGGCACCTGTGCCTTTGCTCAGGGTGCTGCCTGGAATACCTGCTACCTGGATAATTTCCACTTGTCTTTTAAGAGTTAACTCAAATGTCATCTTTTTTTAAAGGAAACCTGCTTTGAATGCCTCTGGCTGAGCTGATACCCTCTCCTGGGGCGAGGCCTCTTTTTAAAACTCGTAACAACTGTTAACAATAGTAAGCCAGAATTATATCTTTATGTGATCACCTTGTCCATTAGGCCTTTAATTCTCTCAAAGGCAAGGGGTATGGCTTATTCATTCCTCTATCTCCAGGTCTCCTGCGGTACCTGGCGCATCACTTACTATCCAGGAAATGCTGAACTCAGCCTCTCCTTCATCCCCCCGGACAAAGTGCAACCGGGTCAAGCATTTGAACAACCAGGCAGTCACTCTTTATTGGGAGTTTGGTCTACAGCAGGGGTGGGCAACTCTTCTACTGCCCAGGGCCATTTGGATATTTATAACATCACTTGAGGGCCATTCAGAAGTATCCACTTAAAATTAGCCTGCTGTATTTGGTCAGATATTTAATTAATTCACCCTAATGCCTTGGCAGGGCCAGACCCAATGATTTTCCAGGCCTTATATGGCCCGTGGGCCGGACATTACCCACCCCTGGTCTGTTGGTTCTTTTATTCTGATGAGCTGTGGAAAAGAGTGCTGAAATCGTAATTTAGTTTCTAAGTTCCTTTTTTCCCTCAGGGTTTTATGTTTTGGTTTATTAGTAGTTGAGCAGAGTTGGTCTAAGAGAAGGGTGGTCCTTTAGGGCCGCTGACTGCTCAAGAGCAGTGTGGCTATCGTTTAGACCTGATGCAAACCATCAAAGTGGTTTAAAATAGGGTGCT